ATAAATTTGGGATTGAATAATGAAATTCTCATTTGAATAAGTACTTGTGACATATATGATCTGTTTCTTATTAGTTGTTTATACCTTATGGTTTAAAACAACTCCAAAGCACGTTACGTGTCTTCAAGCAAGAGACTTTTTGAGAGAAGATATGAAATGATGAGTACATGATTGCGATAATTGAGATGTCATAGATGTTAAACTGTTGAGCATGATATTTCAGTTTTCATTATGAGTCCACTGCAGTAGTACCATTCAATTTGAATCTCGAATCTATGACTCGATTCCCAGGATCAGTAATGTGTGGTCATCCAATTTCGATATTCTCAACTCGTATAAAAAAAGCACACATAATTTGAGAGATATTTGGCTGTATTGCTGGTTTAATTACAATAGGGCATAGTCAAAATCATTTATTTAAATTAAACCAAGAAGGCACTTATGAACATCAAAAAAAATTAAAAGTGAAGCTATTTGCTCATTCCAAGTGTAGATTCATATGGCGAAAAACGAGCAAGGAACTCCACAACCGTTTTAATGAGGTTCACAATACAATTCTCTGGTTACATACTTTTGTTGGTTGGACTGCAAACGTTACCTACTGGTGAACTGTGAACTCATACTTTGTTACCCAAGTTGACTTAACAAAGGTATTAATTAGTTAATAACAAAAATCTTCAACACATCAGAAAGGATTATACAGCAGATGACACACAAAAAACACTAAATATTGAATCGCCCTTACTCATAGGGAATCTGATTCACAAATTATCTTTTCAAATAACTACAATTAGTAATAAAACACAGTTAATCACTGGATACATTTTATTTATTCGGTAATCGCTGTCATTCAATATTATCAGTCAGTAAATCTCCGATCACCTATGAGATTCGTATCATAGATAATATATGAAACATAATATGATTCATATGTAGGTAATATTAAGAGAACTCTTTAGAGAAATGAGTCATTGTTTCATATTCATTTGGTAGGCTTATCTTATGGCCAACGTTATCTGATTGGTCAAATTCAATGTTTTTGTTAATGTACCTATTGCTAAAAGGTAAAAACAAATTTGCGATTGTTATAAGGAAAATTGTTTTTTGTGACAAGGCTCTTAGAAAACGGTTTTTTTATGTCATGTCGATTGATATTTCGTAAAGTTCTTTTAAATGTTTTTATTACAACTTCTGTGAGACATATTTAGTTATTATGTTTTCGGGTAGTAGCTAGTAAACTAGTCGACTTTCTCGTTAAACAATTACGTGAGTAGCTAAACCAAAAACTATCACTGTTTACCAAGGCTGTCATTTGGGTGCCTCATGAAGAGCCTTGTTTATTTTTTGGTATTAGATATTTTAATATTGTTTATCATTTATTCATACTGTAACCAGCATTATATCTCGCAAATTTGTTTTTAAATTTCATAGTATTTTTCATCTTAATGCTATACGCCTATATCTCAAAGTTTTAATTCGTCATAAAATAAACCTATTCAATTAATACTAAGTAATTATAAATTAATCTAACACAATTCCTTTTAAATATAATTATTATCACATAAAAAATAATTTAACTACTACATAATTCACATTATATCGCGAAATATAATGTATTTAATACTTGCTTACGATTGTTATAAAAATATATATTTATTTATGATTTTAGGCAAGTGTGGTGGTTCACTTATAATTCGTGTGAAAATAATTAAAAAGATTATATTAATGAATTGATTTAAATAATAAGAATTTCGGAAAAATAAGAATAAGATACAAAATATAAACCCAAGAATTCTAAGTTATAGAAAAACGATTGCATGAAAAATATTAGAAATAAGGCCTTTATTACATAAATTCATTATTATCAGTCATGGAGTCAGATCTATTTTATAAACTAAAAAGGCAAGACTTCAAAATTATTGTAAACATGAGTACTGTATTTGTGCATGAACTTTAATAACATCTTTATGACCATTATTGTTCGACGTCTTATTTTATTAGTGTGTTGTTATTCAGGTTATTCTGAAGTGTCGTCAAAAACTAATTCGAACAAAAATAATCACAAAGTCATAAAATACTCGACAAGTTAGTCAGAAAAAATCGTAAGTACCTAATGAAATATCACAAATTCTCTAGCGCCTGCGTTAACTTTCATTGTTAAAATTAAACTAAGTACATTGCTATCACTAAATAAATAGGGAACTATAGACCGCGTGAACAGAGAGTAACATAATATTTTACTAACAAAAAACGTTCCATAGATAAGTAGCATTATAATTATTAGCTTCATTACTAAAGTCAAAATAGACAAGAATCAACTTGTCAGTGTCATTAGCTGATGTTTACTCTGTTCCCGCGGTATCTAAACTAATACTATAGATTAAAAACCCAATCCAATATTTCAAGATGGCGTCCAACAAGTCCTTATTCATCTTTTATTTAATCTGTACCATAACGCGGCAGCTGTCAAAGCGTGCATTAGGACTGTCGTTGAAAGGACCAGCGCCATGTTTTCTCCAACGTCAATGTTTTCCATGTCCATTTCTTTTAAGAAAGTCTTTGGTGTGATGTAGTGGCAATACTCTGGAAACAAAAGATTTTTTGTAAACTAATTACTTGATTACTGGTCTTTAATGAATAAAAGATGCGGGCATTTGCATTAAGCTACGGTGAAGGTTTTTTGGTCATGATAGGACATGGCGACTGACCATTTTGAGAGTTATTAATACCATTAATATTTAAGATTTGAAAACTTTAAAGTACTTCCTGACAGTACTTCTAAACAGACATTATTGCAGTTTTATTGCTACGATTTGAACCCCATCATCCAAGGTCATCATTTTTTTTATACGGTATGGTACGCATGGCGGTTACCGTGGCCTATGTACGCCTGCAACACAGGCGCATTACATGCGTCTTGCCGACCCTTAAGAAACCTATTCACTTCCCTCTTGAAGAACCCCATGTTGTAGCCTATTGGGAAAACCACGGCGAGAGTTCATTCCACAATCGGAGGGCCCGTGGGAGGAAATTCCTCTGAAACCAAATTGTACGGGACCATTTGGGCTTCAATATGTAAGCGTGATGTCCCTGTCGATGGCGAGCGGTGCGAAAATGCGTATCATACATTCATATAGTACCTATGTAATTGCGTTTTCTTACCTTTCGAGCAATGCATCCTAGTCCTGTTAAATCCGTAAACAGAATGTACGGCAACGTGGAATCCAGCTCTGAAGTATGAAATATGATGAAGCCAACGGAATTGATAGGGAGTGTCCACGAGTGCCAGACAGAAACCAAACACAGAGAACAAACACGCGAGGACTGGACCGATGAATACTGCAATCTGGAAAACGAAGAATATATTTGTTAAGACATGTCATAAAAATGGCCACATCGAGTGGTCAGAGTATTTGCAATCTATTTTTATGGAGAACCGACCAGGGTGCTTACTCTTGAAGTCAATCTCAATGTCAATGCAATTTCAATACAATAAAATCTCAATAATTATTCAATGTCAAAACTATGCAACCCATATCGCAGCTGTTAAAATAGCATTCAGAGTACGGAATATGAAGTCAAAGTCCATTACCACCATTTAGTTCATTAAATATCCACGCAATAAATAAGGTGAGTTTGTTTATGTTGAAGAAGAGGCTAAGGGGAGAATTGCTTAAACGAGCATAGGCAATGCATTCTTTAATTTCTATCTTTTCTAATGTGTATTTTTTGTTTTTGTTTTTTTTTTTTGATTTCAGTTTTCTTTTAATGTTATATAAAGTACTTAATTAGCTAGTAAGAATAAGAAACGAGCGCTTCTCGCCGTTAAACGATATGTTTGGCGAGGATCTATAATTATAAGAACAACATGTTAATCCTAAAATTGTACTTTTGTTAAATAAATAAATAAAATAAATACGGATGCAATGGGCGCTAGTGTTGCAAGTCAAGAGTACGAAATTTTACAATGTCAATGTCGATCGATCGGAATTGGATTCAATAGTAAGCCCCCTGGACTCTGGATAACAAGTCAAGGCGGACATGTCTATTGCCGTAGTCAGATTTATGTGCATTGACTATATTTATGCTATTTAGAAGTCAGGATGATCGAAAATTTTATAAGATGCTAAGGAGCTAGTCATTATGAGGTATCTTTAATACAATTTGAAGGAAATGGGGGTTTCTTACCCTGGTAGGTGTAGTGGATCCGATGAAATAACCCCATGCCTGTGCACACAGCGACGTGGCCACTATAGTGGCAAGGAATAGGGTTGCTCTCGTAGGCTCCAGGGGGTTGTCAGTCAGCCAGTAAGATAGTACCACGTATGATACACATGATATCATCTGAAATGTAAAAAGAAAATTACCATTAACATAAATAGTTCACATGGTCAGAATAACTGAAAAGTGAAATGTTGTAACAAAAGTAAAAGTTAATTGCTATAACGTAGGTAAATATAATTATCATGATTAAAGCGCACATGAAGGTTGCTAATTTAATTTCTTAGTTAGTTGAAGCGTAATCAGTTTCCGAATTTCCAGTTTTCTTAGAATTATCTGCGTTGCAACACTGCAACGCAGATAATTCTAAATAGCAGCTACACATCTGCTATTATTCACACATAGTAGTTTCAAAATGTTTCGAAAATTATGTACTATTCAACTTCAACAAAGTGTGTTGCACCTTGACCCTATGATAAAACACGGAAGTTACATTAAGAATGCATAATTAACGACTTAAATTTTAATTACGATTGCATGTGAAAAGAAACAAAGAAGAGACGTTTCATTTACATTTTGTAATTATGTGGGAAATCGTATGAAAGGAATTACATTTTTCATCGATTTAATTGTACAATTTTCTATAGATAACATCATAATTTTAATTTCTTTACACCAATTAAATATATTTTTCACGCTAAATATATTAAAACTCACCTGGAAAGGTAATTCCACGGCCAATATTGATACTATGTATGGTCCTAAGTTGTACCAGCGATTGAAGTACTCCCCTCTCAAAATATCCATTTCTAACGGAACTGAAAACACAAGGAATTAACTGTCATAAATGTCCTATTATGAATGTAAAGTCAAGGCCTACACAGACCGGAACGGCATGGTAAGAGATTTTGCCTACTACGACATGCTACGGCATCCCGACGTGGTAGTGGGAGCACGTGGTGCGTCTTTTAAGGTCGTGGAAGAAAAGCCCATGCGATGCTACGGTATTATTTATTAAACAGGGCAATGTATGTCATATTTCTATACAAATACGTTTGATTGTACATTTGCAAAAATTTTAATCCCTTACACTGGCGTCCCGGTGTGACCAATTAATGTATAAATGTTATATTATGATTATTAGTCACAGTAAAATTTAATATAATTTAATTTACTTGCTATAAACGTCACGTTTATTTTTAATTTACACGCGCATTGCATTTATGATGGTAATTATCTCTTTGCATTATATTGTGGTTTACTAAGAAATAAAACTGACATATTTATGTATCCATCAATGCTGCATAAATACATTTATTTGAATAAATTCATATTTATTGACGTGAATTTACGTATAGGTAAGAATGTGATAAATAAATTATTTTTCACATATGTTATCGGAACAAATGAGCCTAATCAGTTATTTTACAAACACAATTACGTCAAATGATTACTTGCATTATAAAATAATTGCACGTATACTGGAAAAAACACATTAAATAAATCTAATCTTTTAAATTTTGAAAAAATAAAAAATAGGAACTGTTTCTGTTTAGAAACAATAAATTAGTTTCCTACATTTTATTTTAATGTCCGTCTGGTATATTGATGTAAAACTTTAGACACGTATTTTTTTCTTTTCTCACAAAATTAAATAGTTTTGACGATATATTAATTTGAGATATAGTGTGACGTCACAGCGTGCCACATTTTGTAGCACGTTATGACGTAACGCCCTCCCACTCCTAAACTTAGCGCCATTTGATCCAAGTACCTATTGCAAATTTTTTCATTATCTAAGTGACAGACTAATTAGATTTTTAATTTTGATAACCTGGAAACTACCCCATTGTTTATGCCACTAGAGATTTTTCCAAGTTTTTGGATTGAGATTTAGGGAGCACAACACCACTCTCTTTTACGAAGCTATATCTAGGTAAACAAACAGCCAGAGGTTCACAGTGCAGATAACAAAATAATTATGTTAATAAGAAACTTACGTAAGTTAATACTATGAGTTATAGGTAGTAAAAAAAATCAACAAAGATCCGTTTTTGGGGACTAACAGGTTTGATTTCTTTATTAAAACAATTACTTACATGATAATGTGACAGACATTTTTCCAGTGTAGACGACAAGCAGCATAGATCCATACAGATAGACGTAGTTGCCAAGCACAGAGCCTGCTTCACTGCCTACCCCGAAATACAAGTAACCGAAGATAAGAGCGATGACCACATGCGCAGCAACACGGTACATAAATAACGACTGGAAATGACAGAAAAAATTCTATTAGTTTTATATTGAATTCTCAAAAAGTGTTTAGCGTATTTCTTACAAAGAAGCAAGAGTTTCAGTGGTTTTCAACTAAATAAAAACCTTAATATTTTACACGTTTACCAATCGAAATTATGTTAAAACATAACATCACGCCTTTTATCCCCGAAAGGGTAGGCAGAGGTGCACATTCTACCACAGTACAATGTAACACCCACTTTTCACTAGTTGTTATGAGTCCCATGTAATAGGGGGTGAGCCTTTCCAGACTCCGTGCTACTACTGAGAATTTTAAAAAACCCAGTAATAGTTTGCCCGACCCGGGAATCGAACCCGAGACCCCTTGCCCGGCAGTCGCATTTGCGAATACTCGGCCAACGAGGCAGTCTGTTAATACATTATGCTATAATTATTATCAGACTACTATAACGATATAACGCTATCATCTATTGCCCTTTTTATTTATTTAACCCACATATTAATTGTAAGTATTCGTTAATTAGAAAGCAAAAATATGGGCTGATTTTTTATCTGTGTTCTTATTTTTTTTTATCAGAAGTTGAAAGTTTCACACGTGTTTTAACTCGTGACTACAGATAAAACAGAAATATTGGCCACGCGTGGGTCTAACTCGCCTAATATTAAGATAACTGTTATACTCGATCAAAAATGATTTTAATGTAACTAGGTTTAACTTTTTGGTTTTCTACATTTTTGTATACTTTCTAAAATTTTTTTGGTCTATTTTTAATCCTTTCTTTGCTGTGTTATTTGAAATGAAAATTGTTTTTGCTGCGATTGGTGATAAGACCGAAAAATGAGTTAAGTATCTAAGGATTTCAAAGCTATTTTTGGCTAATTTCAGCGATAACAATGGATCAGAGTATTAAAAAAACAATTATAAAAACGCATGTGTCGAGCTAGACAAATCCTTAAATCCTTTTTTTAAAGGTAGGTAAAAAAAAATAGTTAAGTGGGTTGGGAAAATTTGAAAATAGTGCTTAAGTGAAGCTGGACCAATCATTCAATCAAATCAAGGGCAGGTTGTGGATTCGGATGTAAAAATTAGGTTTTACGAGGTTTCTAAGGCGATTTTTGAGAATTTTTTCGTATAAAATTATACAAATAACATGTTAGGTTGCTATACTTACATAGTTTCTCGTAGTCATTAAGTAGTTCCTATATAACAAAATCCATGTTTGTCGTAATAATCCAGATTGTCTGTAGATATTCTTCGATAGTTTCCGCTGTTTGTAGTTAGGGCTCAGCAACGACTGTTTTTGTTTTAAGTCTGATCTTATATCTGTAAATGAAACAACAGCTGTTAGTTCATTGTTCTCAATTCTATCATTTTATCTAACTTGAATCATCATACATACAATTCATTAAAATATCATAAAAGTACTCAATTTAGGCCATATTTCAACACCATGTGCTACAAGTCGAGCAAAATTTTCCACAGGTATCTTTGCAATGGAAAACTAGTTTTAGTACTCAAGTCTAGCTTAAGGTACATACCTAGAGGGCTGGGCAGCGCAGGTATAGTAGGAATGTGATTTTCCCAACTGCCGTTGGCATTAGTAGTTAGATCTGGTTTGAACTGGCTCATAATTTGAGCGCTTTTTTCCAAATCCACATCATATTCTCCTGATGCCACCTCCATTACTGAAAAAAGAAGCAAATAAGGTTAATGCTTTATTGGAAGTATAATTACATAGTTGTTCTTGTATCACTTTTAAAACACCACAAATTAGTTTAAACCTACACAACCGACATAAATCCCCCTGTTTAACTGTAAATCTAAAAAACGAACCCTGATAAAAGACAATATAGGTAGATATTTTGCAAAAATAAATAACATTTTTGGATGCTGCCAACCCGTTATATTTACAGTATTAAAATATACTGTTATCTACACAATTAATAGGCCTATATAGTATTTTTGTGCATATCAAAATGACCTTAATCATGCAGAAATTAATGGTTTATATGAAGTTTTTAAAAGTAACGATGGAATTGTTCGTTGATCTTCAATCAAACTTCGAAGCGAGCTGATTTTCTTAGCGTCATCAAATAAGAAGTTGAGAGAATATTTGAATGAAATGAAAAAAAAAATACCTAAATGGGAAAACGAATAAACGAAAAGAAAAACATGAAGTATGTGTCAGTTGTCTACACTATAGTGATTTAAAATAAAATATGAAGTTTGCCTTCAGCAATAAATGCATACTTATTTCCAATAACAGTACATAATATTATGATAGAAGAAATATCAACAAAGAGCTAGAAGATGTCGTAATGTTCTTATAACATAACAGTGAAAGATCGTGGTGTTACATAAATTATTTCTACATTTCCTATTACATCTATAGAATATGTCAATAATATAATGAGTTATTTGTAGACATAGGTAATAGGATAATGATGCTTAAGAGTAATATAATAAGGCTTCAATTCTATTATGAGTAGCACCACACGACTTTAATTTGTAAATGAGTCCTGTCTTCAGTTTTTTTTTTCAAGGTGTAACGATGTAAATTTTACAATTTCTCCTACATACGAATTTGGATTAGCTTCACATATAAACAGACTAATGGAACGTTCTATTTCGACGTTTCGAAAGTGTGGGGTAAAGAAATTAATGATTTGACATAACATAACATCACGCCTTTTATTCCCGAAGGGGTAGTCAGAGTTGCACATTATGCCACTGTACAATGTAACACCCACTTTTCACTACTTATATTATGAGTTCCATGTAATAGGGGGGTGAGCCTATTGTCATATACCGGGCACAATTCCAGACTCCGTGCTGCTACTGTGATTTTTTTTTTAAACTAGTAGTACTTTGCTCGTCCCGGGAATCGAACCCCCTTGCCCGGCATTCGCACTTGCGACCACTTGGCCACGAGGAAGTCAAATTAATAATTTGATTTGTTAATTATTCTCCTAGTATCCTAACAAGTCGCGGAGAACCTAACGGGTAACCGGGGCTCCGGCTCGACGTGCAGGAGAAGGAACGGGGTGGTTTTTAGTCAGTAAGAGTCTGACACTCCCTCCCGCCTCACCCAGGCGGGAGCAGACATTCGATGATTTTCCCCCCTTAAAAAAAAGTATCCTAACAAAGTATTTCCTAACAAACACGAAACATTTTCTACTACAACGTTATGACATAAGTATTCGATATGTTGCTTTCTCTATGTAAATTAAATATCTGGTATGGGTTGGGAGAGCCAGTTATGTTAAACCCTTTTTGTATCCTTCTGTTATGTCATTCGTGGAGAAAATAAGGAAGCTAAGGATCAAGTTTATAGCAGACAACTTTTGCTCGACAAAAGTATTTGATACTTTCTAAGAGATACCTATTATGTAAACCTAGTATTTATATCTAGGGAAATTTATATGACTAGTACCTACACATCTATCGATATAAAGAAAACAAATATTAGTATTTTTTAAATAATGGAAGTATTTAGTGCAAGATTCACTCCACAGCAATATTCGTCAAAATGCGTACAGTGGCTTATGTAACATGTATGTACATCACTACTTAGTAAGTAATGGCCCCCTCACTATAATGTGTTATATAAGGTAGAACACTTGTCATCAACGCTGCTGTCTACCTGTCATAGGCTGGTGTGTGTACACGTCGTGCGCCCTGCACATTATAATAAATCCAAGTAAAATAAATCCGTCTATAATTAATCAATCCACCAACATAACAGCTTAGGTGGTAGAACGTAACGTTTAAAAAAAAACAATTTTCGAAGGGAAATTGTAATGTTACACATTTAATTTAAAAATTTTATTTCATGATCTATTTAATCGTCATTACAATTAACTCTTTAAATAGTTTTCCTTATAATTGATGTCGTGACAGGTCGACGGTCGAAGGTCGAATTATTGAGTATATAGGTACATAGATGAGAAAACAATGGCTTTTGCAACAACATTTAACATACTAATAAAGAATTAGATTATCTACTACGTGTCTAATATCTTCATTATCATATCCATTTATAGCATAAAACATTACTTCGTTTACTTAGAACTTCTTCGTGGTTTCACCTGCTCTGCTGTTATTTAAAAGATCTACAATTAATTAGAACATTTTATGGTTCTACGTTTTATAGGTATATTATTAGGCAGCGTACGGAAAAAAGTAACTCACCTTGTGTCCGAAAAAACCCAAGTATCTGTTTTTCCAAAATAAAATATAGCATATGTTACTCGTTGATCTATCTATCGAATAGTGAAAGAACTTTCGAAATTGGTCCAGTAGTTTTCGAGGGCATCCATTACAAATAAACAAAGCTTTCCTCTTTATAATAATAGTGTAGATTTGATTCGTGTGTTAACTGTATAAGAAATGCAATTACCTGTATAATTTACAACAGATAGTAAATTACTGAACAATAAGTTCGGTTGTCTAACACATGGATTGATAGACAATTAAACCGAGTAAGTATATAATTAATGAACATTACTTGAGTAGACATCGGCACGTCAACCTACTCTAATTTCAAATAGATTTTAAATTTTAATTACAGAACAATTTAGTTAAAAATCGATTGTATAAGTTTAACAGACTGGAGTAAGTTTATGAGCATGGTGTTCGTACTTGGAAAACAGACCTTAAGCGTATTTAAATATTCGACTCGTGTGCTTTGATGTTCTGATATCCATATTAGTCGAACTAGGAACCTAATGTCACACTTGTACATGTACGTAACGCTGTTACCGACAAATAAATAAATGTTTACGAGTTAGCTCCTAATGACTAACTAATACAATTGACTCGACGAGTAAATCTCCTCTATTTTACATATTTTTTATTATTTATACCCAGATCTATTTTCTTTCTACCAGTAGCTTCATACATTCCAGGACACCACGACATAACCAGTTATGCATGAGGGTGCGGGTTCGAAACCTACCAACGGCAAGTACTAATGTGACTATTTCCGAGTTATACGTACTAAGATTATCTAGACACCACTGACAAACGGTGAAGGAAAAACATTGTGAGGAAACCTGGACTTATAATTTCTAATTAAATGTTTGAAATCGCCAACCCGCATTGTGCAAGCGTGGTGATTAATGCTCAAACCTTCTCCGTGTGAGAAGAGGCTTTACTCAGCAGTGGGCATTTATAGGCTGTTGATGATGACTGGTTAGAGGTACAAACTTGCAGCTTTTCTTAGGAACTTAGAGATTGATAGATCAATTAAATAATTATTTTCTGTCTGGACACTAGTTAGTAATTTATATTTTCAGTTGATAGCATATTTTCAATGTAACTCAATATGATTGCGTAATTGGTTGCGCAAAAGGGCTGCGGCATATTTATGGGTCAAACCAATCAACGGTAAACTGGAACTCACCTTGTTACAAAGTCTAATACTAATTAATAAGTTCGTATTAAAAATGTATTTTTGTACATCGAGCCGTATAAGCGACTGTTGACAAATGATATAATTAGTTGAAGTATTTGTATAGTTATTTTGATAGTGATTTAATATTAGGTACATATAGTTATAAACGAAAGGAGATGGGAAGATGACTTGAAACTGACATTCTAGTTGAGAGTGGCAAGAGACAGAACGCATTGGAAAGAATTGGAGGAGGCCTATGCCAAAAGGCTGAGGGGGATAATTGGGCCTCCGGTAATCTCACTCACGACGAAACACAACACTAGTGTTGTCGCACGTCGGTTTTCTGTAAGGTCGTGGTATCACTCCGGTCGAGCCGGTCCATGCGCGCCGAAGTATGGCTCTCTCAAACTTGAGAATATGTATACTAAATAGAGTAAAATATTAACAATTACTTACAGAAATCAGCAGGGTTATGGTATGCTGGACACGTCATCCCAGCACTGGCTAGAGCTGGCACCAAACTACTCCTGGGTCCATTATACAACGTTCTCCCTGCTTGCAAGCAGTACACAGTGTCAATCTTCTCGAAGATGAGAGCTGAAGGTTGGTGGATGGTGGCTATGAGCGTCCTCCCACCCCTCGCGAGGTTGTTCAGCAAAACAATTAGAGATGCTGATGCTGATGAATCTAAGCCGCTGGAAAGAAAAAAACATTCAGTTAACTCTTAATTCCCGATTAAGAAAAATCCACAGCATTTGTTTATACAAAAGTAGTCTCTAAATATAGGAAATAACATATATAATGGAGTAAATGAAGAGCAGTCATCGGTGACTGCTTGGAGATTGGGCAGTAAAAGATTGTTGATTTTTAAACTATTGGTCTAATTGAAATGATGATGATTTGACTCATCTAACTCTGAATGATGTAGAACAAATGCGTAGCATGTGTATTGCAGTTCTAGAATTGATTCGTACCATACGTATGTACATATAGCTTAGTGGTTAAGTGTCCGCTGAACATATTAATAGGTGGGTTAGGGTTGAGTCGGTTTGTGGGTATCTAATGATTGGTTATTCAAGAATGACTCAGGTATCGCTTTACGTAATATACTTAATACGAAGAAAGAAAAATAAATACTATTCTCTTATAAACTACATTTATAAAAAACCGACAAAAACCCTCTGTTTTTTTGAGGTCGGATAAACCTTCTACTAAGCGTAATAAAAACTTTTCTGAAAACTGCATCTAAATCGGTTCAGCTGATCGCAAGATAATCGCGCACAAACATACATACATAGAGGTTAAACAGGTTAAACAGACAAACTCCTTCTTTTTTGAAGTAGTTAAGTTCACAATCCTTGTCCTTACTCTGTAGGTACGTAAATAAACCTACCTAGGTGTACATAGGTACCGAGTAGCTAGGGTATATCTGAAAGTCAATGTCAAGCCAATGTTTTTCCTTAAAAGCAAGTAAAACTGCGGAGTTTCTGCGTCATCCTGACCATGGCCGATTTTTATGACAATACACCATTGTTTGGCAAAACACCATTCTAATATATCTAACCGGGAAATCTTGGCGTTACGTATCACGACAATTGACTCTGTGTTATAAAAATATATCGCACAGGTGTAAGTTATTTTTATAGTGAAAAATTAAGTAAAAGAGTGTAACCAAAAAAAATTGTTAACTGAGACTACTATGACTAAGAAATTAAAATGGATAAATTAAATTATGGTTAGGTACTTAATAAAATTCAGAACCTCAAAAAACCTCACTACATCTCACAGAAGTTTTATTTTGCAAAAAAGTCAACGCTGCTTGTATAAAAAACCTGACCTTTTTATATTATGATCTGAACATCGTACTCGTACCTACTTCTTATGCAGAGGAAACGGTGATCTACGGGATGTAACTAGATGTAATTTAGAACTATTTGAAAGAGAAACAAATCTAACAGCATGTACATACATATATTATTACTTAAATTCGATCAAGGTTCTTGTAATGCTCACGGCATACGGACATGGTGAAGGTCAGTACTAATGCATTGACCGGTTGACTGTACCATGACTTTGACGGAAAACGATGGCCTTGAGCCTTACGTGATGTGGAGCAACTGGAATGCACTTAACTGTTTTGACTTTGATTTCAATGTCCCTAATTAGGATCGTTATTGAGAACAGGATGATTCCGTGTTTTGTTTAAGTCGAGTTGAGTACACTTCTACACCAAATAAGTGTGTAGGTAACTGATGCAATAGTACCTCTAAAATAGTCTTTATCACGTACCAGAACAATTGAAATCAAGTTTTTCCGGTTAATAAGACTCGTGTTTTTGCGTAGGGCTGTCACCAAAATGTCGTTGCCCTCAAGACTAAGCTTTCTTTTTTTAGTTAATACTTACATCACTACGTGTTACATAACAAAAAAGAAAGTTCGTAGGGTTGGAAGCAAGACTCCTTGTTTCAAACCGTCAGATCTTAGAAACAGTTTCAAAATTAACTACTAGGGATCTACTTACGTGGTGGGTTCATCGAGGAACATGAGCGAGGGATCAGAGAGTAGCTCCAAGGCCACAGCCAGTCGTCTCCTTTGACCTCCGGACAAGTCTCGGCAGAGAGTTAGCGATGTATTACTCAAACCTAATAAGGCGAGGATCTCGTGCACCTGGAAATTGTTTTTGAATTGATTGTTCTATTTACGTAGTTAACTACATAAATGAATGTTTCCATTATTTTAATATTTATTACTTTGTTTGTTTTTGTGTTCAATAAATAATTCATTACAATTATCGTTGACGTCTTACCATATGACACCGATGACGATTATTTTGAAAATAACAGATGACTGACAATGAAATGCTCTTTGAAAGGTTTATTGTATTACGATTTTTAGATATTATAATATCTTTTTATGCCTTTATGCATGAAATCAGGCGCTAAACAAAAATAAACTGGTGTTCGTGAAAAGCATCAACTGGTGCTAGTAGCATTTTACGTCAATTAATTTTCAGAAAGTGGCACACTGTCAATTTAGCGAATGGCAAGTTCAATTTCACCACGACACGTATCCATTTAAAAACAATTCAAGCTCCAATCAAATTGCCGATAGTCAATTGTAAAAGTAACAGCTAAATTGTGTAGATAAATTCAGTTTAACATGTGAATGTTAAAAGCGTGAATAATGCTATTAGTCACTTTCTTTGACGAATTCACAGTTTAATATTATAATTTACACGTTTAGAATTGACGTCTTAACTTTCTATGTACCCTAATTTTAAGAGCTCAAGATTAGATATTGTATATTATTTATTATATTTAAGACTGTTATATTTGTATGACTTATTTAGTATAAAAGTTATTCTTAAAAATGAAAGAGATCATTCCCTTCCCTATAACATGAATATTTGTAAGATCATTCTGTATTGGGTTCAAGTGTCGTAAATTATAAAGCAAGCAATTTACCTTTTCTTTCCTCTCGTGGGCATTAAAATCAGCCAGTTTCAGTGCAGCGGCAAGAGACATGGCTTCGTACACAGTGAGGTGCTCACGAAGATCATCGTGTTGTCTGATGTAGCGCGCTCCTCCACGGCCAGTCGCCTTCGAAGCGCAGGCGCATATTCCATTCACAGATATCTCACCTTTAGCACCACGGGTTCTATGGACAAAGAATAAAGGAAAGAATTAAATAGGTATCGTTACAATTTTGAAAAAACAAGTATTGTACATTTTCTTAGAGTGTAAAATGCCTGCGCTTAAACTAAATACATTTTATAAAGCTAATCACTCGACGACTTACAGTAAAATCACTTTTATTTCGCATCAATATTTTTAACTAGGTAGGTACGCTAGAGTTTAAATTTCATAGAAACTTTCTTAAGATACTTATGTCAAGTGGCGTGGACATGATGTCGAATATCTAAACTATTAAATACACTTCCTACGTATAATAGTTTGCCATGCAATAGTTGGAAGTGAAAGAAAGTATAATGACAATAATATTACCTCTATATACTATGTGATCTAATGATATTCATATAAGCTTTAAAGAATAATTATTGTACCTAAAACAAAATTATATGAAACAAAATATTGACAAGTATTTATATGGCTCCAAATAAGTTACGAAATAAAAATAACAAACCTTAGACAAACTTAAAAGTTATCAGGTAAACGTTACGTATTTTTTTTTTGTAAAAAATAATTATGTTTGGACGCCCGTAGTACCTACATTAATCATGCAACAATATTAAAAACTTTGTTATATTTATTTATTATTTATCTCTACTACGTTCTCATTAGTAGCACACTACTGAGAATTTTTAAAAACCAGTATATCTTTTTCCGACCCTGGAATCAAACCCGAGAGCCCTTAACGTACATACCCTAGTACATTGTAACCCCGTAACATTTTTTTATAAGGCGAGTAAGTAGTTGGAACCGAGGACCAAAGACCGTTGGAAAACTGTTAAAGCACATGTTTTGAAGATACATTTGCATATACGTAGTAAAAATTAACGTTTCATTATTTACTGCGAAAACAATGACGCACATACCTACCTATACATTTCCTGTAAATTGGGTTTTCCTGATAACGGGAAATAACTTGTTAAAAGAATTTGGAACACTAAAGGACCAATTATTATTTATCCAGTTTATAATATATTATAACTTTCGTAGGACATCCTTATCCTTATCCTTACTAATATTATAAATGGGAAAGTGAGTTTGTTTGTTTGTATGTTTGTTCCACTTTCACGCCGTAACTACTAAACCGATTGCTTTGAAATTTTGCAGACGTAAAGTTAGAAGTCTGGATTAAATAATAGGGTACTTTATGAATGTATATTATCGAGGGAAAACGAAATTATTGGTATAGATGGCGCTGTGTGTATTGGTATATGTCATATAGGCTACTTTTTATCCTTTTGTGACGCGAGCGAAGCCGCGGGTAAAAGCTAGTAAGTACTAAATTAATGATTATGTTTTCGGCTTACTCATGGCTTGAAACTAGTCGAGTTAAACAGCTACGTGTGTAAACCGAACACATAATAATCAGTTTATGATAACTGTGGCAATTTTTTGAAGGGGTGTAGGTAAATCATCAAATGACTGCTCCCGTCTGAGTGAGGCGGGAGGGAGTGTCAGACTCTTACTGACTAAAAACCACCCCGTTTCTACTCCTGCACCATTGAGCCGGAGCCCCGGCAATCCGTTAAGTCGCTTGTGGGATAATGGTGATTATAAATAACATCCTTTATTTATGTGTGAGCCTCACACATACATTTATGTATATCGCAATTTTTTTTTTTTTTTTTTGTTTATATGATGTGACCTCATGCGGTAACATCATAAAAAAATTACAATCTAGCTTTAATGCTAATAAGTAATTCTATTTTGTCTTAATTTGCTAGGAAAGTATATCGCAATGAAAAAATGCAACTTAAAAAACACTTTTGCTTGTTACATATACCTACATGTGACTCCCCATTGACTGCTGGACTACCTATGAACTTCCTCCACATAAACATAGTTCCCCTGCAAAAGAGGACATAGTATCCACGTTTTGTAAGTATTGCAGTTTAAAAAGATCCTGGCTTATCTCCTAGTTAGCTCTTACGATACCCGCGGAGAGAGTAACGGTGGTGGCATATGTTTACTCTGCTGTCATGCCATGTTGCAATAGAGATAAACTAATGACGTAGTAAATGCGATTAGCTTGTAACATTGCAGATTGCAGGATGGTTGCAACATAGTCCCTGGCCACATAGTACATGACATTCGCATTATTTCAAACCTTGCCACCATGCATAGACTTGGGTAAGATGTCAATGTCACCACGCTATGAACTTTTTGTGTCGTAAGGGTTTTTATTTTTGAACAAATAGGTATATTTGTCTTACGTAAACAATCAAACCATGCGATCGAATCATAGAATCCACATACATTCATAAAGTGCAAGTTACTAGGGTTAAATGTAATTCTAACTATCTAGAGACTTATAATAATAAAAAATGTAATTTGGTAACAGTCATAAAGAATTTGTTAGTTAGATTCTTTAAGCCCTAAGTCATGAGAACCTAACGGGTTACCGGGGCTCCGGCTTGAAGTGCAGGAGTAGGAACGGGGTAGTTTTTAGTTAGTAAGAGTCTAACACTCCCTCCCGCCTAACCCAGGCGGAAGAAGTCATTCGATGATTTTCCCCCCTTAAAAAAAAACTCGTAATACAACAAGTTCTAAATAGATAAATACAATTATGCATAAAGACATGATCACCATGATTAGAGTTCTATTAAATAGTTTAAGTCATAATTATTTAATGTAAATATAATTATTGTGTAATAAAAAGCCACATGGCGACCTCGAAAACATGTGTAACAGAATACACGTGAATCATAGTTTTTCAAATGCAAATAATATGAGTAAACGGTACATTGCGTCGTTTAATCTATATCCGCTGTCAGTGTCGCAAAAACTAGGAAATGACTCGACTGAAAATGATTAAATTAATGTTTTTTTTTGTGGCTAGAACAGTTATTTTTATCAATTCACTCAAAATTATTTGATGATGATGACATTTTATTTAAATTTTAACATTTTCAAGAGAGCCAAATGCAGACAAAAACACAAGAATGATAATAATGAACGTTTGTGGATTGCTCAGGTATATCGTTAAATTGGTAGGTATCCAATTTAGGTACCTCCCGCAGTAAGTACACTTTAAATTATTGTGATGCAGGTAATCGTATGTTTTGATTTTTTTATCAGATAACTATACAACAACAACTATTAATCATCGTACATTTACACACCCATATTATTTGTATGTTGTAATTGTACAATCTTGTAGGTGCTTGCTTTTTATTTGTTATTTATGAAGTTTTATTTATCTATTCGAGCCTTGACATATATTGCAATAGGTTTTGTAGACATTAAAATAAATATTGCTGCCAATCGAGTCATTTATAATCAATGGCTTTTCTAACTACATCTATATAAATAAAAATGATTTTCAGTTCGTTATCCTCGCTAAAACTTGAGAACCGTTGAACCGATTTGGCTAATTTGGGTCTTAAAATATAGAAGGTTTAAACGGTTAGAAAAAAATCTAGGTGATACAAAGTTCGGTGGGTCAGTTATTATTTTATAAATACGTAAGTACATAGGTGCTTCTAAACAAACAAAACATAAATGTACTGCGATGCTGCGGCCATGAAGCCAGAAATAGAGCTTTGTGTATAATTAAGATTTTCTTGTTGTTTTGTAGTCTAGTTACTACATATTTACATTCATTTTGTTATAAACCCAGTTGGACAATTTATTGTTTTTTTAAACGATTATCTTTGAAAGTGCCTATTCATTACGCGCCTCAGCGAAAATATTGCACATACAACTTAGGCCTAGTTGCCTATTGAACTAAATTGATTGAGTGTTCTTGATCAACAGCAAGACCAAGACTTCACATCTACTCCTACGTGCCAAGACTTCATTGATTACACTGTCAAACACCAAGCGGTCACCGGTGACCGCAACCTATTGTTCTATAATTGTGTCTATAATGACGGTATGTACAAATTATAGCAAAACTTACGAGTAACCAGCAAGAATGTTGAGGAGTGTAGTCTTGCCGGCACCAGAAGGCCCCATGATGGCCGTCAGCTGTCCTGGTTTGAAGCATCCTGATACTCCCTTCAGGATCTCTTTGTTTTCTGTAACAATAGAAAATTAGGTGAGAACAAAATCAACTATTTATTTATTTAACTTTATGCAACAAGAGTACATAGGCGGGCTTAATGCCATGGGCATTCTTACTAGCCAACCTTTAGGTGATGCAGTGAGAGCGTGGTCGGTGCAATAAGTTGACAACGAGTATCTAATATAATTTTTTAAAATGACAGAATACATACAACGGACTATTGTAAATACAAATATATATATTTTTAATACTACTAACTATTTTTAAGAAGTCATACGCATTGGGTTAGTAGTAATTTTAATCAAAATATTAGACACTGAACGTTGGAGAACAACTCGATTAATAAAAAATAAATAAATAGGTTTTCTTTGACATGATTTCTGGTAAAAAATATAGAGATTTGACTCTAGTTTTAAGAAAAGACTTACAGAAAGAAATGAATACCTATAAAGAGCAATGACCTTTATCATATCGGGCAGTAGAACAAATATCAAGAAAAATAGTCAAAACATTGACATTAGACAACATTATGTTTGTCTTGCCATAGCTATAGTGGAGTGCGATAAAATAGTTGAACAATGTAATAATGTATTACGTATTAGAAGATAAGAATGGAATCGCTTAATTTTATTATAAACTATGTCAACTAATGTTATATGTATATGTGATAGTAAGGTTGATTGTTACCTATTCAAGTTACTTATTAAAATGCTGTGTACTGATACAGGTAGTACGGACAAGAACATAAAGTCACACAAGTACGCGAGTAAAAGCTGGTTTCATTTTCAACTTTATTCCACATTGATTGTTTTTCTTTTAACCGACTTCAATAAAAGAACGGGATTTTCAGTTTGACCTGTATGAATGTATGTATATTTGTGTGCGATTATCTCGCAATTGGCTGAACCGATTATTGTACGGTTTTCAAAAAAGTGTTGCTACAATTAGGAGAAGCTTTTATTACTAAATTATTAAACCAAATTCAGAAAAGTCAGGGTGGAAGTCGATTTTTTAAACATAGTTTATCAAACAATTATTTTTATTTAATTTCTTTTAAAAATATTTATACATATTTTTTTTTTATTTATGAATAAATAATAGTAAAGGGTTTAACAATCGCCGTGAGATTAGTTATATAGGTCATTGTCCTGTAGGTATTGTGAAACAAATATTCAGCATGACGTTTTTATGACCAGTAAGAAAAAAATTACATTTACATGCATGTTTTCTTATTGCTATGTATTGTGTTTCAAGTGCCTACATATATAATGTGCGAAATCTTATGCGTTTTGTGTACAAAAAAGAAGACAGTCTTATTTCTCTCAATTTGTAATTTTAGTTACTCACGGCTAATACAAATTATTCAATGATACACCAGGAAAACAATAAAAAAATCATTATTAAACTAAAAATAACGATTATTCATGTAAATATTTCACAACAATCAGGTGTGTTATAGTATGTTGCAACATCGTCATACAATAGCGTCGAATAAAATAAAAAAATACTCAATTTAAATAAGTCAAATGTATTGTTATATATTCACGAATAACAATTACATTCGAGTTAAAACAATGAATGTTGACGTAATTTTTATTATAGGTTTGATGAAGTTAAATATTGACCGTGCATCGCTTTTGTCTTCAACTTTTGTCTATTACATCGAAAATATTAATGCAATTAAACTGTCAAACACCAAGCGGTCACCGGTGACCGCAACCTATTGTTCTATAATTGTGTCTATAATGACGGTACTCGACGAGTTAAATAAAACAAAATGAGAAGTAATGTTCATGAAATTGTTACAATAATCATATAAAATATGTTGACAAAATGAACTGATTTAGCCCTTAATTATTACCGATTTATTTTTGGATAAGCCAAAGCTGACGTGGATCACATTAATCGAGAAACATATTTAATTCATATTAAGCTACGTCTTTTAAGTAGATAATAAAAATGCAATAAAAAAATTAAGTGATCTTCCTATTAACACGATTGATGAATTCTGATAACATTGCGATATTTATATTAATTACTAGCTGACCCGGCAAACTTCGTACCGCCTAAAAGATTTTTCTCACCTTTTAAACCTTCCCTAGACTTCCACGAACCTATTAAGACCAAAATTAGCCAAATCAGTTCACCCGTTCTCGAGTTTTAGCGAGACTAACGAACAGAAATTCATTTTTATTTATATAGATTATATATATTCATTTATATAAGGTACCTTCATATTTTACAACTTCATGCAATTATAATCTCCTCCACGATATTTTATTTAACACTAAGATTTCTAATGAATCATTTCCTGCGTTTAGCCTGCAATTATCACATAAACACGTCTACCTAAATGTTAAATCTAACTGCAGGTCTAAACCCTTTATTGCCACCAGTCAGTATCTATTTATTATCTGACTTCCAAGTAAGATGATTGGCAAATCATCAAGCATAACCGTGGATATTAATTTATTCCTTATTATCATTAATGAACGGCCTCAGACAGTCCACATCAGGACTTCAGAGGCTTCCTCTAGATAAGAGGTTTGCTATTAGCTTCATGCTAAGAAGTCGGGTTGAAGATTATGGTCAGTAGGTCCAGGTTCCTAATAGGCTCTACAAGTCCATCAGCTCTGGTGATTTTTATGGAATGAGTAGGTGCAGTGGCATGTTTTCTACGTTTTCTTTTTGAGGGGGGAAAAGTCACCCAATGTTGTAAGACAATAGAGGGAACCTCTTGCAAATCAAACAGTAGTGTTATCAGTCTGGTTCACCAAAATATTCAAGGTTTTATGAGCAAGGAACTAGAAATAGAGTTATTTTTGAATTGTAATAATGTTGACATTTTGTGTATTACTGAGCATTGGTTGAAATCTCATCAACTAATGTTCAATTTTGGTAATCACCAGATTGGTAGCTCGTTCAGCAGGGAGAACGCTATACATGGTGGTTCACTAATATTAATAAATAACAAACTTAAATTTAAAGAACGCAAGGATATAGTTAGTTACTCTGTTGAACGCACTGTTGAAATAGCTTGTGTGGAATTAGAGCGGTTTATTGTTTTAAGTGTGTATAGACCACCTTCTGGTTTCTATGACTGTTTTGAAACAGTAATAGATGAAGTGTTAAATAAACTCAGTAGTTCAAATAAATTCATCATTACCTGTGGCGATTTTAATGTAAATTTGTTAGAAAATTCTAGTCTAAGCACTAAAATTGTAAGTTTATTTGCCTCATTTAACCTTACGAACTTATTTCTGGAGCCCACTAGGATAACTCCCACTAGTGCCACTTGCCTGGATAATATTTATACTGATATTGTACCAATTAAGAAACAAATTATATCATTGCTTGATTCAGATCATTGCGGACAGTTAATTTCAATAACAAATCATGTAAATACAATGTCTAAACCATTTATCACTGTTAACCCAAAGACTGAAAGACGCATTGAAATCTTCAAATCTAAAGTCACTGAAAAATTACCTTTGTTGATGAATAAAAATCCTAATAATTTGTATGATGATTTTTTTAATATGTACCATACCGAGTTTAAATCTACCTTTACACCTAAAACTATACCAGTTAATAGCAATGTATCTTTCAATGAATGGGCAACCACTGGCATCTATAAAAGTAGGAAACGTCTCTATGAACTATATAGTGAGAGGACATTTATTAACACAATCGAATTTAATGTATATGTTAGGAAATATTCTAAATTGTTTAAAAAGGTCTGCGCTATTGCAAAGTCGCGGTACTTGAGCTCCAAAATAAAGAACAGTACCAATGTCATCAGAGCGACCTGGAGTATTATTAACAGTGAGACGGGAAGGTCCAAAAAGAAAAGTAATGAATATAGTCTTCTAATTGATAATAATGTAATAAAATCAGACGCAGAAGTTGCAGCTGCATTTGAAAGTTTCTTTTCGGACATTCCTATATCTACGACTAAGTCATTGAATTCATCTCCCACTGTTGCAGAATCTTTACTAAAAGAAAACGTTATAGCTTGCAGCATAGGGTTCTCTTTTGAACACATAGATTGTACAGATATCGTCAAAACCTTCCATACCTTAAATAAGAAAAAGACTGCAGATTTGTGGGGAAATTCTGTGTACATTGCCAGCTCTGTTATAGCTATTATAGCACCTCTATTAGCTCTAATTTTTAATAATTGTATCGACCGCGGTGTGTTTCCTGATCTTATGAAAAATAGTAAAATAACTCCGTTATTTAAATCAGGTAGTACTTCTGACCCCACTAACTTTAGACCTATTTCAGTACTACCTACATTTAGTAAAATTTTTGAAAAAATTATTCTAAATCAAATGCAAAGATTTTTTAATAGAAATAAATTGTTACATAGTAACCAGTTTGGTTTTACCAGGGGTCGTTCAACAACTGATGCCGGTGTTGAACTTCTTAATCACATATATGACGCGTGGGAGGACTCAAGCGACGCTTTGGGCATTTTTTGTGACTTATCCAAGGCGTTCGATTGTGTCCTTCATGATACATTGATCAGGAAGCTATCCCATTATGGAATAAGAGGTAAATCTCTGGATCTTCTTACCTCATACTTGAGTAACAGGATTCAGAGAGTCGAAATAAACGGAAAAGTCTCCACCGGGTCTGTTGTCAGGATGGGGGTTCCGCAGGGGTCAATTCTCGGCCCATTTTTGTTTCTTATATATATAAATGACTTACCTTACCTTGTAAGGGATAACCACGGGATAGTACTGTTTGCGGATGATACTTCGTTATTATTTAAACTTAAACGTAGACAATTAGTTATTAATAATGTGAACAGTGCTCTCTCGGAGATAGTACGCTGGTTCAATGCCAACAACCTATTACTAAATGGAACTAAAACTAAATGCATTAAATTTACAACACCAAATGTTGGACATGTGAAAACCAGCGTGCTCATTAAGGGTGAGGAGTTGAGCCCTGTAGATTCTACTGTCTTTTTAGGTATAACCCTAGACGCTAAGCTCCAGTGGGCTC